AGGGAATTACTGACATGCCCCCATACCTCTAGGCCTCTAAAATTTTACTACTGTGCCAGGGCCCTGAAATTCTGCAGGATTTATATCCATGCTCTGCAGTGTTTGTGTTTACCAAGGCCGCCAGCGTGCCTGCCGCTTCTTGCTCCTCTGGCAGATGAACGTACTTCCCGGAGCAAAGGCTGAATACCATGTAGTTAATCATGTCTTCATCTGTTCTAGAAAAGTAATTGGAGCAAATTCTTGCTTGATTTTTATAATAATTCACTGTCATCCTCCAGAATCCACACGGGTTTTGGAAGGACACAACCAATCAAATGTAGACACAACGAGGAATACCACCCTGTAGAGTTTAGGTCATTAAAAGAGGCATGAATCTCTGCCATTCCTTCTGGACTGTGATGCTTTTTTTGGTTTATGTCTTGGCCAAGTAAGGGGCAGGGAGGTAGTTTCAAAGTATTACACTTGGCCTTCCCCATTTTGGTAGCTTTCAGCCTACAGGCCAAGGAACCAATTTGGCTTGCCAACTCCAAGTACATCCATTCCAATTATACATTCAAGGTCTTGGGAAGTTACCACTGCGTGGGACAGTGAATCCTGTGAACCTGCCATGGGACAGACCCCCATTTATTACCTGGCTCCCATATTCCTCCATTCTAGTATAGAGGCCATCATGTTGCTTCAGGTCCCTAAGTATTGATGTCAACTCAGACCCTGCATCCAACAGCCATGAAACTCTGTGTACTCCCCTTTTTGCCAGTGTTCCTGAGTAAATGGGTATAGGTCCCTTTGGGCGTGGGCTGGGAAAATCGTTACCATTACCACATGTGCTTGCTGTGGTGAGGCAGGTCCCGGCTTCTGGAGGTTTTTAGTCTGAAAACTGACCCAAATCAGTTTCCACTTGGACATGGAGCAGGAGATTGTTCCATTTTTAGCTTCAGTTTCTTGATCATCCATGCTTTATTTCATCTGATTCTGTAGATTGATTACTACCCCTGTTGTCTGCCCATGTCCTATTAATCTCCTCCAGAGCTCTCTGAAGATAAAACACCTCTTCCCTCCTTGCTCTCCCCACCTTCTGCTTCCATCTTACTGCTCATTATGCTAATTGAGCTCACCTTGTTGCTGAAGGGTACGTGCCATCCTCAGGGAGCCCAGTTCTGTAACAAATCCCCCACCATCAGCCTCAGCCTACAGAGACAGTCACCACACAGTTTCCCAACGATGCTGGCGTCCCTCTCACCAGCACATTCTTTAATTCAACAGATGATCTTCCGAACCTTCCAGTGAAACACAGCCTTACATACCCTGCCTACTCCAGTGTGTCCAGTTCTCTAAGCCTTTTAATCCCTTCTTTTACCTTTTGTCAAACAATTCTGGCATTTCTGCTTAGCGTGAGCATCTATTTCTCTAATCCCCCAAAAGGCCATCTCCCGACATCCTTGCCAGAGTGTTTAAGTCATGTATCACGGGAGTGTGCTCCATTTCAATAAATGCTCCGGAACTCAACTACATGTTCTGCCTTCCTTGATCTAGCATCCTCTGGGTCCAGTCCCACACATACTGCCAGGCCCTGCAGTAACTTCAAGGGATAGTTCTTTCCCTCCCTTATCAGGCCTAGAATTTCCCCTGTTGGTTTGGCATGAGTTAATCCTAGTTATTGGCCTAGTGGATAGGAGGGGAGAAAAGGGTAGATAGATTCTGAGAGGGACATAGGTTGTATTGCAATGTAGAGGCCTCAAGCAAGGCAGAGCACTAGCTTTACACTTAGAGGGCTGGGCCACTTTTCACAAGCCCAGAGAATTCAGAGGGATTGGTGTTTCCAGGTATTCGCATGCATAAATCAAAATGTCCCCATCCCAAATCTGAGAATTCTACTCCTTCCAAGCAGGCTCCTGACCTTGGCATAGCAAACTTGCTGGTGTTGAGAATTCAACCTTAGCTGAAGTTATGCTACCCTTACAAAATAATCCTAGGGCCTGATTCTTAGCTCTTTTACCACCGGGCTTCCAGAGCCCTCTCTGATTCTCACATTTTCCCTTAAATTGGTCGTTAATCACCAGCATTCTTTCCCTGTCAATAGCTCCTAGTAATAATAGTCATTAAATTTCATAGTCCTTAGAATTGCTACTTCCCCCAATGTCACAAAGATCTGAGGGATAGCACCCAGTGTTTGTCCTTTCACCAATATCCCGCCCTGGTTCAACACCAATGACAATTTTATTAATAACAATTACACTGCTACACCCTGACATGTATTATCGGTTCTCTACAAATTACAAGAGATAGGGCCCTCGCTGCCAGCAAGGAGGCAGGTAACTCAGCTCCAAAATTCCATTTTAGAGTTTGCTTTCTTAGTCTACTGCTGGTACCAACCATCATAGGGCAGATTCTGACATGGAGAATTACATACGGGGTAATTATTGGGTGGTGTTCTCTAGAAAAATGCCTGACATAAGGAAGACTGGGTGGAGGAATAAGTTGAAATGATGTACAATAGAGGTCTCATTTGGTCTCATGGGGAGCTCTGAAGCCAAGATGGCCCTTTAGAGAGGTTGCAAGTTGAGGTGAGGGGGCCAGGTCTTTGAACCCTTGCACTGAGCAGGCTTTGGATGTGGACTGCCCCTGGGGAGGAGATGTAACTTGTGAGAGGCAGTTCCCTGCAGCCAGGACAACTTCAAAGGAGGTATTTAGCTGCGAGCCACCAGCAGACAAATACCCTGGCAGCTGGGGGAATGGATGCCTCTGTCCAGAAGGGGATCCCAGCAGCACACTACAGTGTGCACTGTGGGGTGTATTAAATTTTTTTTTTCCAGCTTCAGTTGTTGGTTTGTGGTTTTTTTTTTGAGACAGAGTCTCACTCTGTTGCCCTGGCTAGAATGAGTGCCATGGCGTCAGCTCATCTCACAGCAACCTCACACTCCTGGGCTCAAGCGATCCTTCTGCCTCAGCCTCCCGAATAGCTGGGACTACAGGCATGCGCCACCATGCCCGGCTAATTTTTTCTATATATATATATTTTTAGTTGTCCAGATAATTTCTTTCTATTTTTTTTTTTTAGTAGAGATGGGGTCTCGCTCTTTCTCAGGCTGGTCTCGAGCTCCTGAGCTCAAAAAATCCGCCTGCCTCAGCCTCCCAGAGTGCTAAGATTATAGGCGTGAGCCACTGCGCCCTTCCTTGGTTTGTGTTTTGCTCCCTACGGTTATATAAGTTATTGCTTTACACATTTTGAGGCCTTATTTTTGGGGACATACTGTATATTTATGATGAATATATCTTCTCTGTTAAGTTTTCCTTTTTTTTTAATGAAGACAGGGTCTCGATATGTTGCCAAGGCTGGTTTCAAACTCCTGGCCTCAAGCGATCCTCCCGCCTCAACCTCCCAAAGTGCTAGGATTACAGGCATGAGTCATCATGCCTAGCCTAATTCTTCCTTTTATGGGTATGTAACATTCTTATTTACTCTCCTGTGATCTTGTTAAATTCCAGTTTGTCAGATATCAGGATTATTACTTGTATCAGTAAGAGTTCGACCTGAAAAGCAGAATCAGTAGGGTGTATAAAAGATTGATTGCAAGAAATTGGCTTACTCAATGGAGAGGGCTGACTAGGCAAGTTCAAAGTTTATAAGGGCAGCCCATCAGAAAGGGCAGGCTGGAAGCTATTGTACACTGGTGGAGTTTCTTCTTCAGAGAAGCCTCGGTTCTGCTTTTAAGGCCTTTTTACTGAATTGGGCCCACCCAAATTACCTTGGATAATACCCCATACTTAGTTCAACTGAGTTTATGGACTTCAATCACATCTACCAAATACCTTTCCAGCAACACCTAGATTAATGTTTACTTGAATAACAGGGGACTGTAGCCTAGACAAGTTGCCACATCAAAAGACAATCACACTCTCCACTTCCTTTAGTGAAAATGTCCCTGGTACAGTGATATTATACTCTTTGACACCTCCCTGTGGGGTCTACATCTGCCTCTGTTTGATTCTGTGCAGGCTTGTGACTGCTTTGACCAAGAGTATGACAGAATTGGTACTAGGTGACTTCCAATCTATGTTATAATTGGCCAAGGAGCTTCTCCCTTGTTCACTGGAATGCTCACTCTTGGAGCCCAGAGCCAGGTGTAATAAGTTCAACTACTCTGAGTCCTTTATACTGGAAAGACCACATTTAGGCACTCTGGTTAAGTCCAGGCTGAGCTCATCTTTCACCCATCTCCTCCTAAGCCTAGACGTGTGAGTGAAAAAATCATCTCGGAAGTGGGCCCTCCCAGCCATCCCATCACCTCCACTGAGGCGACAGACACAATGGGACAAAGAAGAGCCACCCCTGCTGTTCCCCTTCCAAATTCATGACCCACAAAATCCATGAGCATAATAAAATGGTTATTCCTTAAAACCACTAAGTTTGGGGTGGTTTGTTAACAGAGAAGTAAGTAATAGCAAATACGTTTTTCTATCCTTTTATTTTTCCAGTGTTTTATGTATTTTTGTTTTGTGTCTATTATAAATAACATGTTCTTTTTTCCGATCTGAGTCTCAGAATCAGACTCCTCAAGAAGGACTCAGAACCTTTCACAGCGAATGTTTATGCACAGTAAAGCCTGAACCAGCACGTTAGGTCTTCTGCCTTTAGGATCCCCATCTTCCCTGCCTTGTCCTTCCTCTAGGAATCCTGGCACCCATTTTTCTCTGGGTAATTGGTGCAAGGCTTCAACTCTCTTACGTTCCCCTAGCTGCTGGTACCTCCCGACATCCAAGTTGTCTACCACACCTGTGCCTGCTTAGAGAAACTTTCAAGTTCCCTTCGGAACCCTGCAGGCAGGCTAATGAGCAAGTCATGGAGTTGGGTGGAGGAGGTTGCCATGGAGACAGGTCCAGGGCCAGCGGCCCGGGAGGGGGAGGCCGGAGCTCGGGCTCCGATTGGCTGTGCGGGCGAGCAGCGTTCTCCCGGCGCACATGCGCAGTGGCGCCGAGGCGAGGTCGCCGCGAAGCCGAGGCGCCGTGGGTTCTGGGCCGGGCTTCTCAAAACCCTGCTGGGGCGTGCGGCTCCTGGCCGAGACGCGCTGTGCTTTCCGGAGAAGGGAAGTGGCGGAGCCCGAGGCCCCTGTGCAGCTCGGGACCGAGCCCGCCACGCAGGCGCTCGCGACGCCGCCGCCATTGTTGCCTCTGGCCTCTCGGGCCGCTCCGGCTACGCGTCGGCCCGGTCCCAGCGACAGGTAATGATGTCCCAGGCTCCGGGCGAGAGTGTCCGCGCGGTCGGTGAGCGCCCGAGCCCGTCCATGCGCGGGCGCCGGTACTCGCGGCTTGTGGGGAGGAGGAAGACTGGGTGGAGACTGTTGAGGAGGGCCCAGTCCCAGCGTGGCACGTCGTGTAGTCCCCAACTCCCCTGCTGCCCTCGACCCTCCGGCTGAAGAGGAGTAAGAGGGACTGGCCAGGAAGGGGAGGCGACGGGAGGCGTGGCGAAACTGTCGCATGTCCTCTGCAGGGCCTTGTAAACAAGCTTTGGTGACACGATTGTGGCTGAGCAGAGCTCAGAGCCGGAGCCTGGGAGCAGGTGGTGTTGGTTCTACTCCAGGTCAGGCCAGTTCTGAGGTTTTCTTCGGGAATCCTGGCCTCGACATATTTTTAAGCAGCTATCTCTTGTAGAAGTACCTGAAGGGTTCATATCACACCAACCTTTTCTACTGCTTTCCAGTCCAACCGGCCTGTCTTCCCAGCACTCTGATAGTGAAAAGCTAGAATAGGCTGGCATTATCATGCAAAGCAGATAAATGGCTCGCCCTTCCTCCCCACCGACAGTTCCCTTGGAAACTTTCAGCACTTTTTTAAGAAGAAATTCTCCCAGTTTATTCCAAGTAACAGTAGATTTGCTCTCTTGATATAGAGAGCCAGTTCAGTCATTACAGCTTCTGTAACATCAGTGACCAAAATACTGAAACATTTCTGCAAAAATGTTCAATTTTTCTTTAAACAAGTTAGAAGTTTAATTTGTCATTTTGCTCAGATTCTTTAAATCATTTCTTCTGTTACCATCTTTTTATGGTGGCTCCTCCTCCCCCACCAACCTCAAACAGATTGCAGTTCTTTTACTAGTCTAACGATGTAGGGGAGGAAGACCAAAGTAAAGCCTGTGTGTGTTTGTCTGTGCACACTGGGGAGTCTGTTTCTGTGTGTGTGTATGTATAGCAGAGTGCGCCAGGAACTCGTGGCCTTGTGGTCTATTCTTGTGTTTCAGGACCTTTTATCCATGCCTGCAAGTTCTGGGCTCGGAATTTGTAACTAAGTATGCTAACTCTACCTTGCTTCTGTTCTGCCCTTAGCTGTGGCAGTCCTTGATATAATGTCTTTGTGGCTCTAGCATGAGACTCCAAGCAGTTGGCTCACTACTGGAGAAATAAAGGATATCACCAGATTGACTCTCCTGTCTGTAGCAATGTTAGCCTCAAGCAAGAGGATGTCCACTTCTTCACGCTCTCAAATCCTTCTAATGCGGAAGCCAGACAAGGCTCAAATTGGACACCACAGTGTTGGGAAGGAAACCCTCACTTCAAGACTCTTGCGTGACACTGAGACCTGTCGACAGAATTTTAGGAATTTTCCATACCCAGACCTGGCTGGTCCTCGAAAGGCATTGAGTCAACTCCGAGAGCTCTGCCTTAAATGGCTGAGACCTGAGATTCACTCAAAGGAACAAATCTTGGAGCTGCTGGTGCTGGAACAATTCCTGACCATCCTGCCTGGGGAGGTTAGGACTTGGGTAAAGTCCCAGTATCCAGAGAGCAGCGAGGAAGCAGTGACTCTGGTGGAGGATTTGACTCAGATTCTAGAAGAGGAAGGTGAGAATGGTAGAGCAAAGAGGGGAAGAATCCCTGGATGGTTAAATAAAACAACTAGCATATCAGAGAGCAGCTCCTTTAGAGAAATTGGGGAGAACAAAAGTCAGTGAATGAGTGAGAACAAGGCTTTAACACGAACTCCATCAGGCGTGATGTGCCCCTTCCAGATTGCTTGGGACCACACACACACTATCTAAACCCAGAGGAGAAACATCATAAAAGAATAACCAGATACAACCAAATTACCCCTGTGTGAGCCCTCAGAAGGGGGTGCAAAGGTTTGCACCATTTTAATAAATCATTTGCTTTGTGAGTTGAATTTTGCAATGACATACTTCCAAAAAGGTAGGAAAGGTCCAGAGAACGTTCCCTTATTAAGAAAAGAGACCACTCACAAAATTAATATCATTTAAAGATTTAGTAAAAAATTGTGAATTTTGTACCTATACTTAAGAGCTCCAGAGCAGACTTGTTTTTGAAGTCTGCATGAACATCTTAGGACACATCATTCTTTGAAGTAGGAGTTCTGTTTTTGCTTTCCTTCTGACTTCTCACTTTAAGAAAGCATGGGCATCTATTTGGTGAAGGGTTTCCTAGGCTCTTCAAACAGGACTAATCTCTGTCATGGTCTCTTTCTCTTCCCTAGCTCCTCAGAACTCTGCCCTTTCCCAAGAGACCCCAGAGGAAGACCCCAGAGGAAAACATACTTTCCAGACAGGGTGGCTAAATGACTTGGTGACCAAAGTGAGTTTGATTTCTTTTATGGTTTGAAAATGCCTTACTGTGTGAGGACATTTTCTGTCCTGGCCCCTTAACTACTGTGCCCCCAAAAGCTCTATCTAGGACTTAAGCCTCAGTTTCTCTCCTTAGTTATCTTGGCCTGTCAAGGTAGGTGAATGTACTATATAGGAAACGGCCTTCCATTGCTTTCCCTTCATGTGCCGTTCCTCACTCTTTGACTTGAGGTCAGCAAGATTGTGTAGAGGTTGAGGGATTGACCTTCACAGCCAGATGGATCTAGGTTTTGGTACCTGGCTCTACTATTGAATATGTGTTTTGGAAAAAGATACTTAACCACTCTTAGCTGAGTTATTCAACTCTCGTAAATAGAATTTACCTCTTAAATTGTGAGGATTAACTATTACAAGACTTGTGGTGAGCCTAGATTACAGTAAACGATTAACAGATAATAGTTGCTAAAATTATTTTTTCTCATTAACAAGTAATTAAAGATCATGAATTCTGTAATATTACTGTTGATCATGAGTCTGTTATTTTAAGGAATAACAATTCAAGCCACCTTAAAAGAAAGATTTACTGTAAAAATATAAATAGTCTTTCTGAAATTAGAAAGCCTTTGGTAGCCAAATTAAAATGATAATAGATGATATGAATATTTACCTGGAAAACCTAAGAAAATCAAGGGGAAAACTGTTAGGAACAATATTAGAAAAATTGAGTAAAGTGACTGCTATAGAAAATGACATGCAAAAATTATTCACTTAAGTATACATAAAAATCATGTAGATGATAAAATGAAATCAAAGATTTCATTCAAGTATCACCCACCCAGCCCCAAAAAAGGAAAATATCTAAAACTAAGCATGGTATAAATTTTATACTATCTTCATGTCTTATATCATTTTATAGGAGAAGAAAGAAACCTTCACTGTTGTAAAGCCATCGGTTCTCCCTAAATTATAAACTAAATATAGTTTAAAATACCAGTATGCCTTTTTAAAGGTACTGACAACTGTATGAAAAAATAAACATTTAAGAGTAATTTTTTTTAACAAAAGGAAGAGAAGAGCAAAAAGGGACACTAACTTTACCATCTAAAAGTGCAGCAGTTCAACAGTGCGATTATTGATACCAGTTTTATTTTAAGAAAGATTCTGCATTTCATTATAGAGCATGTAAAAATATCTTAACATTTTAAACTATAGTATGTTGAATTTATTCTTCAGGCAAAGCTTGAAAAACAATACCATTCAACTTTGGCATCTATGTTTAAAATTTAAAATCCTTTTTTTTTTGGAGACAGAGTCTTGCTCTGTCGCCCTGGCTAGGGTGCAAGGGTGTCATTGTAGCTCACTACAACCTCAAACTCCTGGGCTCAGGCAATCCTCCTGCCTCAGCCTCCCAAGTAGCTGGGACTACAGGTGCCCGCCACTAGGCCCAGCTCATTTTTCTATTTTTTGTAGAGATGGGGTCTTGTTCTTGCTTAGGCTCATCTCAAACTCCTGAACTCAAGCGATCCTCCCGCATCAGCCTCCCAGAGTTCTAAGATTACAGGCGTGAGCCACTGCACCCAGCTAAAACCCTTTCTTTTATAAGATGGAGTCACCAATGCATGCAGTAGTGCCAATTGAAAAATAATAAGTTCTACTTTGTTTTCAAACTTCCCTTTAGGGTCATTGAGAGATCTCTGGGGCCGTCTGTATATTGGGGGGCGGTTTTGACTAGACAACATTTATGGTCCTACTAAAGCTTAAGATTCTGCCACTGTTCCAACTCCTGCCCACCACACATGGCGCCTAGTGTTATCACTATACCCCTTCCCACTAGTTTTTGAACCAAGTTAAGTTATATTTGATATTTTAGGAATCAATGACATTCAAAGATGTGGCTGTCGACATCACCAAGGAGGACTGGGAGCTAATGCGTCCTGTACAGAAGGAGTTATACAAGACTGTGACATTACAGAACTATTGGAACATGGTTTCTCTGGGTAAGAATCATCTGTAGCCCTCCTTCTCCCAACCTGCCCACCAGAGTATCTTTTTTCCCTCAGTTGTTAAAAATGGAGTGGGCCTCTGAAGTACTTGGCTGACAATGGGGTCTAGAAACGAGTGTCCTCATCCCATTCAGGCACAAAAAATGGCTCTGTTTTACTGCTTTTTCTCAAATGAAAGGTTTCTGAGTGAAAGATCATTGAAAGCTGTGATGCACAGTGCTGCCACCCAATGCTGCCCTGCCCTGCCCTTCTCTGCTGCTCTAAGGGAAGGTTGTTTCCCTCATGATCTCTATGGACTTATCCTCTTGGGTGGCAGGAAATTTTTATCCTAGCTCTGAAAAGGATGACAACCTAATTCTCTTATTAGATCATGTCCACGAACTATTATTTTCCTGTAGAGGTCTGTCCTCCCAGGTAAGTAGAAGTCAGGTAATAAACTTTGAACAACTGTTTATCTCCAGCATAAAATTCATTATATTTCTCCTGAATAGGACTTACAGTGTACAGACCAACTGTGATTCCTATATTGGAAGAACCATGGATGGTGATAAAAGAAATTTTAGAAGGCCCTAGTCCAGGTAAGAGAAAAACTAGCACATGAACTTCTTTGCACTTAAGAGTCTGTATCCTAATTGTGGTGAGATATGTTCTTTAAATATGGCCAAGTCATGTCTGCAAAGCCATCCCAGCCTGTTAAGAACACTGAGCTATTTGGCATCGCTTCCTTACAGAGGCTGTCTCCAGGAAGAGAGTTTCCAAACATCATTTTTATACCTTTCTCCTGTCTCTTCTCGATTTATCCTTCTACATGACCCCTAGATCCCATCTCTCAGAGCTTTCATTATGCCCTTTTTCCCCTTCCTCTATATTTAAACATGTATGAATGTCCCCTAAAAACTTAAATTTCAAACCTTCTTCTTTTTGAGTTTCTTTTATTGTGCCTCCACTTTCCTAACTTATTCCCTTCTTTTTTGTTTTATAATTATTTAAAAAGATAATGTATTCACAAGATTCAGTAATTTTAAAACTATGTAAGGCCAGATTTATACAGACAAGTCTCCCGCCTATATACCACATTCACCCAGTTCCTCCATCTCCCAGCATGCAACCACAGCGGTTAGATCATGTCCATGAACCATTGTTTTCCTGTAGAGGTCTGTCCTCACAGATAAGTAGAAATCAGACAATAAACTTTGAACAACTGTTTATCTCCAGGATAAAATTCTGGCTTTATCCTGGAGATAAAACAGTTATTCCAGGTGTTTGTTTTGCTTTGAGTTTTTTGCATGTAAAGTCAATATAAAAATATTTTTTCTCCATTTTTTAATATGCATGGTAGCATACTGTATATACTATATCGTACCTTGCTTTTTCTTTACTTAAAAGTACATCTTCAGCTGAGCATGGTGGCACTTGCTTATAGTCCCAGCTACTTGGGAGACTGAAGTGAGAGGATTCCTTAAGCCCAGGAGTTCAAGTCCAGTGTGGGCAACATAGCAAGACCCTGTCTTTATTTAAAAAAAAAAACAAAAACTGGATATCTTGAAAAGTTTTGTAAATGAGTATGTAAAAAGCTAAGAGCTTCTCATTCCATTTTTTATATCTGCATTGTATTTTTTGTGTCTCCTATTTGTTAAACTTGTTCTTCATTGATGGACTTTTGGGTTGGTCCCATTCTTGCTTTCCTCTACAAGTTCATTTTGAAAGATTTCAAACCTACAGAAAAGTTGCCAGCACAATACATTGAACACCTATGTACTGTTCACCTGGAATCATTAATTATACTTGTTCAGCCACTTTTGCTTTATCTCTTTACATACACACACACACACACACACACACACACACACTGTTTTGACACTGAACCATTTAAAGGTTACAGGCATTGTGACATCTTACCTCTAAATACCTCCTAAGAACATGAACGTTCTTCTACATAAGCACAACAGCCTTCTCTCACTCTAAATGTTTAACATTTATATAATAGTGTCATCAAATGTATAGTCAAATAGTCACATTTCCCCCGCTGTCCCAGAAACATCCTTTATAGATATTTTTCTCCTCAATGCAGGATCCAGTCAGAAAACACATACTCTACTCATTTATCTCCTGTCTTTAGCTCCGTTTAACACATTGACTGCCACACTGGAAAAAAAAGTTTTTCCCCTGGGGCCACGGTGTTTTATTGAAACAAAATAATCCTTTCTAATTTGTTATTTTTTATTGTTTTCTGTGTATGTGTATGTTATATACAGCCCAATCCACGTTTTTAGAATTGTCAATATTAATTGCAACAATAAGAGCATCAACAAGTTAGATTTTCATAAACCAACTGCAGGATTTTGTTTCACGAGGCCCTGGGCTGAAAACTATCATGAGTTAAATACAACTCACATAGCAGTTATTGTGTTAATTAGAACTGTTCCTAGCCTTTTCTTTTTTCTTTTTTTAATCTTTCATGATACTGACATTTTTTTGAAGGATCCAGGCCAGTTTTTTTCCTAATGACCCACAATCTAGATTTGCCTGATTGTTTCCTCAAGATTAGACTCAGATTAAATGTTTTTGCCAAGAATATTTCAAAGATGATATGTACTTCCCATTGCATTTCCTCAGGAGGCACATATGTTAATTTGTCCCATCATTGGTGATGCTCAGTTTGGCTAATGTGTCTAGAGGATCTCTCCATTTAAAAGGTGCATTCTTTTCTTTTTAATTAATGAGTGATCTGTGGCCTGATACTTTGAGGCCACGTGACTATTCCTTGATAACCTTTTACTTAAAATTTTAGCATCCATTGATGATCTTTGCCTTATTATATTGCTGGTTACAAAATGGTGATTTTCTAATTCAGTCATCTCTTGTAAATGATTCTTTTGTAAAGAATAGCCCCTCCTTCCTCTTACCACATCTTTGTGTGTATATTATACTACTATGGATAATGGAATTTTTAAAAATTCAGTGTGATTCATCCATTAATTCCAGTTGTTTTGTTTTCTGTTTTTGATGCTCACTTATCCCAAATTTGGGCAATGGGAGCCCTTCAAACCAAGTCCAGCATCTTTCTGACATGTCCTCATTTAGTCTTTGAGCATATCCTTGCTTTCTGGCATAGCAAGATGTTGTTTTGGGGGGCGGGGGGCGGGTGGTGGGGACAGAGTCTCACTCTGTTGCCCAGGCTATAGTGCCATGGCATCAGCCTAGCTCACAGCAACCTAAAATTCCTGGGCTCAAGCAGTCCTTCTGCCTCAGCCTCCCGAGTAGCTGGGACTATAGGCATGCGCCACCATGCCCGGCTAATTTTTTCTATATATTTTTAGTTGTCTAGCTAATTTCTATTTTTTTAGTAGAGACGGGGTCTCACTCTTGCTCAGGTTGGTCTCAAACTCCTGAGCTCAAACGATCCACCCACCTCAGCCTCCCAGAGTGCTAGAATTACAGGCGTGAGCCACCACACCCAGCCGCAAGATGTTCTTTAGGCTCATCTCGTGCTTGCCTTACACCTGGAATTTCTCCAAGGAATACCTGGTTCATTTTAGTGAGGAATAGTACTTAGAAACCAAGATCTGGGCAGTAACTGTATTTACTGTTGTGATTACCATTCATTGCTTCTAGATCTGTTTAGTGGATAGAGCTGGGAAAAATATATGTATGTATTTTTTTTTTAAGTCATGAGTTCATACTGATAACTCTAATTCAAATACAACACCACAAGGATATTCCATTTTGTATATTCCCATGTTCTGTTTTGTATTTCCTTTCCCATACAGTTAATAACCTGTTTTGTAACATCAGTGTATTTACTTTTTTGCTCTATCATGTTATAAAAAATAGTTTCAGATTTATATCAGTACCACTACCAGTAACAAACTGTCTAGATAAAGTTCAAGATTTCTTTGAAGTCCTTTTTGTCCTTAGAATATATACCACTAAGGGAAGTGTTTTCTTGCTTTGTAATTCTTTTTTATTTTACATTTTTGAGTAAATGTATTAACACAGTTCAGAAGTTAAAACTGTATAGAAAGGTATACACTCCCATCCCTTCTTCCCTATTCCCATCCACTAGCTATAGGTAACCATTTTCATTTGTTTCTCGTATATCTTTCCTATGTTTCTCTTTGCAAAAATAAATCATAAATATGTTTTTAAATCTCTTTTTATATACAGAAGTAGTACGTTATGCATACTCTTACATCTTACTTTCTTATTCCTTTTTTTTTTTAAGACACTGACTTCTTATATGTCTACCAATATTAATGCTAGAATACATTAATTAAACAATTAGGACAGAATATAATATGCCACCTTACAGTGAATTTCTTCACTTTTTCTAAAAACTTTTAACTTTGGTCATTAGATATTTTAAGGGTCATAATACTTAAAAAGCTAATTCTTTGCCATAATTTATAGCCTTATTTGGCAGAATACAAAATACACTTACAGCACAATAAATTATTTGAGGAATAAATTCAGCACACTCTAAACACTGAGAAAATATACCTAGTGTAATGGAAATAAGCCTGAACTAGAGTCAGGGTAGTCTTCTGGGAGATATTGCCAGCCTGGGATCACGTTACGTTAACTTTTCAACATGAGGAGTTGTGTAGATCTTGGAGGGAGCACAAGTTGGGCCTGTAAATCTTCAAGAAGGAGCAGTATATAGTTACGCATTTTGGAGGGAGATGTTTCCTCCCTCCAAAGAGCACCAAGACTGAGAAAAGCAAGTTCCTTTTTTCCTTCTATAGAATTGAGATTTCTGGGTTTTGTTTTTCTAGCTTCTCCTTACATTGTGTGTAATCCTCTGTGTGAGGGACTCCTGTCAACCCCCCTTTCTTGATTGGGCTCCAGGCTCTGTCTTCTAGCCCCTAAGCCCCTTGCACCCTCAAAATGGAAGCTTAAGGTCATCAACATGATTAAGGAACTATGTCAGGCAGCCAACTTGAGTTCTTGCTGACTCCCTGCCTTCCAGCTTTTATTCAGTACTTGATTTTTGGCCTCTGAGGATTTTACTTTCTTGCCAGCTCAGAGGTGTATCCAGTTGAACCTTTGGTTAGGATATCTACAGTATACTTCAGGAAATGAAAACTTTGGTCATTCACAACTAGAATAGTACTCTTGATTTTCAGTGGCCATTACTGTCTCAGAACTTTTATAGTTCTTTATGTTTATGCAGCAGCTAGCCATTCTTTCAGGGTCAATTCAAATCATACCTCCCCACTGAAGCTTTCCTGGATTACCTGAGTCAACATTGATCTCATGTTGGAAATAGTATACCACTGTTTGGCCTTATTAACCAGCAGATACCATTTCTAACCAACACTTTCTGGTTAGTGACATATACATATTTAAGCCCTGCTTTATGATCTCAATTTTAGAATTTGTAATAAATTGATTTGTTTTAAAATGTACACTTACAGTAGCAATTTATTTATGGTCATTGTTCAGACTTGTAACTTTAAGCTTGTTAATTATAACTTTAGTACTTCCTTTTCAGGTTTATGTATAATCTGCCACAGACTGATTCTAATTACATTGATGTTAAAGTCAGCTTCTGGTACTAACACCTTTTTTTGTGTGTATATGTACACCTACCTGTACAGTCTATTCACATTCTCATTTTGTTTTGGAGCGGGGAGTAACAAATCCTGGTTTGAGAAAATTGATTTTTTAATTTTTTTCTTCTGTAAAAGTAATATAACTACATACCTAGTACTAAACAGCAATAAAAGTAATATAGCCAATCTATTGAGAATTAGAAAATAGAAAAGAATACCTATAATATCATCGTTGGCATTTTGGTAATATTTTTCCACTTCTAATGTTTTTTCATGCTAGTTTTGATACTGTTTTTTTCCATTTAACACTACTCCTAAACATTTTCTGATGTCAACTGTGATTTTTGTATTTGAATAAAAGTAATAAAAGGACTTCATAAATTCAAGCAGTAAAAGGAAGCAAATTAAGTGTCTCCCTCCCCTCAGTCATTACGAAAACTTTCTTCCCTTAGGTTATCAGTACCTGTGTCTGTCTATAATACATATAGCTTATCTTTATACAGATGGGATCTCTTACTCTACATTCTGTTATATACCTGCAGTGTTTTTGTTTTTGTTTTGTTTTTTTTTTTCACTTTATGTGTCCTACACACCTTTCAATGTCAATGGTCAATGTACCTAGACCTACCTAATTATTTTTATCAGTTATCAATATTCCATTATTCCTTATTCTAAGGAGTCCCTTACTGATGGGATATAGCTATCATTTTCAGGGACTGCATACTATTCTATTGAATGCATGTATTTGTAAAGGTATTATACTTTGATCTGCATCTTATAAAGTTTCTGAACTATTCAGTACATTTTTACTATATTATAGATGATATATTTGATAACATATAATTCTTGATATTTGCAACTTATGTTTCCTACCTGGTTTCAAAGGAGAAAGGAGTTGTAACTTAAGTTTTCTTTTAAATCATCATACTGTAACCATAATAGGCATCAACAAATACATATTTGACTGCCTTATTACAGCTAGGTTTGGGGTCAGAGTTTTTTGTTTGTTTTGTGTATATGTGTCTGCATATTTGTGCACTTTCATTTGAGTTCACCTTTTTACAAGTTACTGTCATTTATTTTACCAGTTCAGTTGAGTGGCCACCATATCCAGAGTCTTGGGCCATTTTCTGAAGGAAATATAAAAGAAGGATAAACTATTTCCAGAGTTTGCATCTAAATTGGAAATATAAGAAATGCACAAAATTGTGAAATACAGTCATGCACTGCATGATGACATTTTGGTCAGCAATGGACTGCGTATACAACAGTGGTCCCCTAGGACTATAATGGAGCATATATCGAAGCCTAATGTATGGCAATTGATGTTGGTATTGCAGATCAAAGTAGGGGAAATTACTGATATTTAGTAATGGTACTGGGACTTTTGGGTTTCCATGTAAAATATATATAAAAATAAAAAGATATATACCATCTAGGTTTGTGTAAGTACACTCCACAGTGTTGACACAGCAACAAAATCACCTAATGACATTTCTCAGAATGTATCCCTGTCAGTAAGCAAAGTGTGACCTGTGATCATATAAAGCCAAGTTCTATCATGGGCCCAACGTTGTATTAGGTTGAACCATATGAGACTACTGATACTCAGGCATTTTTACCTATTTTAAAAAGGCAGTTTCATATGTGATTCAACCTACTCTGTATTTTAGATTCTGTGAAGGAGTATTTTAGAGGGAAACACACCTGGGCTGTAAACATCTTTTTTAACACATTGACTGCCACACTAGAAAAAGAAAATTTTTCCCTGGGGCCACGGTGTTTTTTTAAAACAAAATGATCCTTTCTAATTTATTATTTTTTATTGTTTTCTGTGTGTGAGTTATATACAACACAATCCACATTTTTAGAATTGTCAATATTAATTGTAACAATAAGAACATCAACAAGTAAGATTTTCATGAACCAACTGCAGGGTTTTGCTTCATGAGGCCCTGGGCTGAACACTAGCCTGAGTTAAATACAACTCACATGGTAGTCAATGTGTTACTAGATAGAGAATGTATAAAAGAAGGCCTAAAGTCTGGGATTAGCATGGCATCTATGAAAAAATATGAAGAAGTAGAAGGCAACTTTAAGTGAAGCTGAATATGAGTTATAATAGGAGATATAGTAGAATAGAAAAGGCTAGAATACTTCAGGACTGAATGCTATGTGGAGGTATTTTGAACTTTTTTTCTTTTTCTCTCTTTAACTTTTATCTTTTAAGCCACTGGTCCTTAAACTTTAATGTATAGCAAAACCACCTGCAGGGCTTACTAAAACAAATTGCTCAGCTCCACCACCAGAGTTTATGATTCAGTGTGTCTGAGTGGGACCCAATAATTTTAACACATTTCAGATGACAGTGATGCTTATGCTGCTAGTGTGAGGACTGTAGTTTGAGAAACATTGTTTCAGGCTGTGGGACATTTCTTAGAGATATTTGTGCATAGAAAGTACTCCATGAAATTGCTTTAGGAATATGATACAGGATTGTGCAGAGTAGATTGGAAGAGAGTGTGATGAGAGTTAGCATGCCTACTTCATGAGCGCATTTTATAAATTAATCCATGAGGCCATCTCAAGTTATCCCATACAGTTTTAGCCATCATTTTCACTTCTCTTAGCTCTGTCACCTGACCTATTTTATTTTATTTACCTAATTTACCACCTAATCTATTTTATTTACTCTGTGCCCATATTTAATAGTGAAGAGCCTCTTTGTTTTCAACAATTTAGTCTCTCACTTTTTGGTCTTTTTTTCTCCTTTCCCAAGCTTTATGGGCCATTTTAATGAGACTGTCAAAGTTACAGTCTTTGGGCATTTTATTTGTGTTTATTATTTTGTTTCTATTTTGGTAATTTCCATTCTCCAAATAAAGACTTTTTATATTCTTTTTGTTTCAGAATGGGAAACTGAAGCCCAAGTGTGTACTCCAGTACAGGATATTTCTAAACTCACAAAGGATAGAACTCAAACCATCAAATTAGAAGAATCATATGACTTTGATGACAGATTACAGAGGCAGGCAACAGATACCTTCTGGAAAATTCCCACCAATGAAAGAGATTTCATTTTGAAGTCAGTCCCTTCACAAGAAGATGACCCTACAGAAGAATATCTTAGTAAATATGATATATATGGAAATAATTTTGAAAAGCATTCAAACCTAATTTTACAGTTTGATACCCAATTAGATAACAAAACGTCCATGTATGATGAAGGCAGTACAGCCTTCAATCATGTCTCCTATGGTGTTGTACATGGGAAAATACTTCCTGGAGACAAGCCTTACAAATGTAACGTGTGTGGGAAAAAATTTAGGAAATACCCATCCCTCTTGAAACACCAAAGTAGTCATGCCAAAGAGAAATCTTATGAATGTGAAGAATGTGGGAAAGAGTTTAGGCATATCTCGTCCCTCATTGCACATCAGAGAATGCATACTGGAGAAAAACCATATGAGTGCCACCAGTGTGGTAAAGCCTTCAGCCAGCGTGCACACCTCACTATACATCAGAGAATTCATACTGGAGAGAAACCCTATAAGTGTGATGATTGCGGGAAAGACTTTAGTCAACGTGCACACCTTACTATACATCAGAGGACACATACTGGAGAGAAGCCGTATAAATGCTTGGAATGTGGTAAAACCTTCAGCCATAGTTCATCACTGATTAATCATCAGAGAGTTCATACTGGAGAAAAACCTTATATATGCAATGAATGTGGGAAAACTTTCAGTCAGAGTACACACCTTCTTCAGCATCAAAAAATACATACTGGAAAGAAACCATATAAATGCAATGAGTGTTGGAAAGTGTTTAGTCAGAGTACTTACCTTATTCGACATCAGAGAATTCATTCTGGAGAGAAGTGTTATAAATGTAATGAATGTGGAAAAGCCTTTGCTCATTCCTCAACTCTTATTCAACATCAAACTACTCACACAGGAGAGAAATCCTATATATGCAATATATGTGGGAAAGCCTTCAGCCAGAGTGCAAACCTTACTCAGCATCACAGGACACATACTGGAGAGAAACCATATAAATGCAGTGTATGTGGGAAAGCATTCAGCCAGAGTGTGCACCTTACTCAACATCAGAGGATTCATAATGGAGAAAAACCCTTTAAATGCAATATATGTGGGAAAGCATATAGACAAGGTGCAAATCTTACTCAACATCAAAGGATTCATACTGGAGAGAAACCCTATAAATGTAATGAATGTGGGAAAGCTTTTATTTATTCCTCATCACTTAATCAACACCAGAGAACTCATACTGGAGAGAGACCCTATAAATGTAATGAATGTGATAAAGATTTTAGCCAGAGAACATGCCTTATTCAACATCAGAGAATTCACACAGGAGAGAAGCCCTATGCATGTCGTATATGTGGTAAAACTTTCACCCAGAGTACAAACCTTATTCAGCATCAACGCGTTCATACGGGTGCCAGACATCGAAATTAATTGATAAGGGAGACTTCATTTAGGTTTTACAACTTGATCGTGTAAATTTTATTTTGTGCACCATGTGTTAAAATATTATTCAATAGAAGAAATCTGAAGTGCAATATGTTAGATACCACTCAGAAGTATCAGAATTAGTAATATGAATATAACCTATTTAAATTTAATGTGAATGTTAAGAAGGAAACCTCATTGACTTCTTAACCTTTATTTGATACCAGTTTAATTCATTCTAGAAAGAAACCCTATGACAGGGTATTCAAAAACCTGTAACTCATCAATTCTTACTGTATTTCAAGTACTTCTCAATGAGGCCTTATGAGTGTAACTTGGGAAAACGTCCATCAAATAGAGATTTCACACTAGAGGATAATCCCGAGATTATGAGAGAAAAAGCTGCTTTCGGGCCTCTATATCTTCCCAGTATTGAAGCCTTAAAATATGTAAAGGGTTGCCTCCCCTTTTCCTGTCATGCCATAACTGTCATATGGAGCCAGTAGATTTGCAAAAAAAAAGTTGAAAGTATTTTAAAGATTTATATGTGACCACTGTTTAATTCCAGTTTCCCTCAAATACTGTATTAAAGAAAAGCTTAATGAAAAATGATGTTAGAATAGAGAAACTAATGTGTATATAACACTTAGACATGTGTACAGATTTAGTTAAACAGGCAAAAAATAAGACACTCCAAGCTTAAATTAATCTTTAAGACATGTTAGCCTTAGTTTCACTGGGTTTTGACATACAAGGTCATCCTGAAGTAAAAAATAGGCATACAATTCCCATTTTTTTCACCTGTCTCCTAAATTCATAACTTATAGTTTCTCTGTGACTGTTTACTGTAGAAAGTCCATTTCTTCCACTGAAACACATGTTTCTTGAGTGCCTACTGTGCTCAGGTCCCAAATTTCCTAATTGGATCCTTTCAGGGTTTAATACAGTATTAAAAATCACAGCTGACTGAAGGAACAAAAAGCTTTCCAGAGTAATGAGAAAGTAAGGACATGATCTTAACTGTTTTATCATGGAGTGAACATGAGAAATTGCCAAAGTGGGTTGCCAGATGCTACCCCATATCCCAAGACAAGGAAGTAATGAAAGCGGCTATGTGAGAAATGTGAGAAAAATAAGTAATGGAAAATAGATTTGAGTTCACTGCTGAAAGTGGGTTAGGGAAAAAGGTGAAAGCTTAACGGAGTGAGGAAAAAGAATGCATAGGTAACTTATACGTGAAATGTAATTGGACTTGCTTTACCTAAGAAAATAAGAGTGGCTACATAAAAAAGCAAAATTCATCCTGGTTATAAGTAGAAACTAAAAACAAAATGACTGATTTTTAAGGAATAATTGGAAACCTGGTACTCCATACATACAAGTAAAATAGAGATTACTCTTAGTATGTCAGGAAAGAAAATTCATTGGAAAAAGCATTGATGCAGAAACTTTCATTGGTGTGGTAGTCATTAAACAATGATAACTGAATTTTGGGGTCCTAAACAACATAAAAGGAAAACTGGCAGAAATGCAAATTGAAATAGGTACAAATACTATTAATATTATATTTAATATTCACAGCATTCCACTATCTGAATATATGACCATATTCTGAGAACTTAGATTCATCCTGTTCATATTTGTTTCTCCAGTGCCTTGCATATAGCATGTGGTCTATACATATTGGTTGAATTAATGAATAAATTACATAAATTAGAATTGAGTAATAAGGTAGAATTGATTGGCATGGACTGAAAATTGGTAAAACAATACTTTTTTGTACATACATCAAGGAAATATTTCATAAGTATTCTTTACTGGGTAATAGGAATTGCTAAAAAATGGAGAATCAGATTTCATGGGACATCTTTGCACAAGGAAATTTTCCTGAGCTAAATGAGGGAAAATTGATACATTAATAGATTCTGGTGCCATAAACATCAATTTAAGCATTATTGATCATGCAGCTTCATTTGGACATTACCGTTTATATAAACATCCAACAAATAGGTGCTGAAGGAAAGACCTGGGGTGCTAGCATCTTCAAAGCTATATTGAATGTTTTCTTTAACAAATTGTTGCTTTCCCTTTTCTTCACATTAGTTAACCTTGATGTTGTAGTATCATCCTTCACAAAGCACAGGTTGCAAAATACTCAAATTGTGCTTATTCCATGGTTCTCATGTTAAAAAAAAAAAACAGCTGTGTTGAAGATACACTTTTTTTGATGCCACTTCATCCCTTACACACACTTCTTCCTCTAGGATGAACATGTGGAGTGTTACAGTCCATAGCACCTTTCTTTGCATTACTTTGTATTTCCTGCCTTTATGTGTTTTATGTAAATAATGCACCTATAAAGTCTTCCAATGATACACAGAGGCAACTGATGCCCTTAGAATAATAGTGGAGAATCCTAGATCTTTGTATATTTTTCCAACTTTTACAGTTGTCTGACCCACAAATAATTCAACAGTTTTTCACAAATAGTCTTATTTTCCACAATTTTTTATTATGAAAGTGCTCATATACAGAAAATTTTAAAAATAATAAAATGAACTGTGTACCCTCCACCTAGATTTAAAAATTGACATTTTGCCAAATTTTTTACTGAACAATTGGAAAATAACTTACAGACATGACATTTCACCTCTAAATACTTAAGCATGCATCTCATAAAAATAAGGACAGTCTTTTACATAACCGTAATATCATTACATACCTAAAAAAAATGAACAGTAATTCCCTAATACCTAAAGGCCTTGTCCATGTTTAAATTTCCCGTTGATTCAGTGAGTTTTCACACGTAATATTTGTTGTATCTGTTTCATCTATCTAGAACAGTCTCCACCTTTGGTTTTTCCTTGTTTTAAGAGAGCAGGTCAGTTGTCTTGAAGAACGTCTGACAGTCAGGATTTAACTAGTTGTTTGTATGTGGTTTACATGTGGACTGTTCCTATATTGTGTCAATTAGAAGCTAGGGCCAAAGGCTTGATTGGATTCAGCTTAAACATTTTTAATGTTAACACTTCACAGATAAGTTTCATATTGCATCATATCAAAAGTGTCATTAATATCCAGTTGACTTACTATCATTGATGTGACATTTGATCACTCATTTGAGGTAGTAATCACCAGATCTTCCCAACAGAAACGTAGTTTTTCCTGCTACAATTTAACGGTCTGTGGACTGACACTTTGGCAGCATATGAATATCCTGGTTGGCAACTTTTCACCTCGTGGTTTTAGGGACCACCAATGATCCTTCAATCAGTTGTTTCATGAAAGTTTGCAAAATGCTAATTTTCTAATTCTATCATTCTTTATCATGTACTGACTAGCATTCTCCATGGGAGAAGTTTCCCTCATCAACTGGGAATGTACTAGAGGCATGGTCATGCTCAATTCTTTTCCTCTATTTACCAGTTTAGTAGTTTAATTACCAGTGAGGAGTTTAGTTTTATCATCTGCAGGGATGACAAATGAGTCAGTGTGTTACAGTCAATTATAATCTTCGTTTCTGATGTTCAAATTCTCCCAAATTTGGCCAGTGGGAGCCTTTCAAGTAGCTCTTCCGTTCTTTTGATAGTCCCTCTCTAGTCTTTGGGCAACTTACTTGCCTTCTGACACAGGATATCTCAAGTTCACCTTGCACTTTCAACGCCCCAGATTTGGAATGAAACATGTCTCCAGGAATTCCTGGCTCCTTTTAATAGGTAAGCTATTTAAAAACTAAGATCTGGGCACTAGGCATGCTCACTGCTACTGGAGCAAGTCTCATTCAACTTTGTTTTCATAAAGACAACTCTCTGCACTCATGTCATCAGTTACATAATATCTAATTATGCAATGAGGGATATAATTACGTAACTGGAATAAACTTTTGGGAGAAAAAAACTTAAGTCTTGCTGAGCATATACCTAAATTAGAACAGTAACATGTATACCAGAAAGCAGCAAACTTAACTGCAAGAGGTCCTGTGCCAAGGCTATCAGCAAATTTTACACAGGGAATGGAGCTTGTCAGTTAATCTGGCAAATGGGTTAAGTAGAGGGCAATTAAGAGAATGACTAGATGTATGATACCTACTATACTGTGTTTTAACTGTTACATGTCTTGGTAACTTACCGTGTTTATAAGCTAATAACCCTCCTTTCCCATCACATTTCTTATGGCAGGTTTTTGGTAAGACCTAAATTTTAATCCTGAAAATCTGTTTCATGTAAATCTAAGTATTAGTTTTTCTTACTAAACCTTTATTTGGTCTTTAAAATGTTAAAGCTGTTTTTTTTTTCATTCTTTGTCTTCTGGTGTCAATTCATTGGCATGTGCCTGTAAATGTATTCTTAGTCCTCTATTTGTTATTTTCCCCATGGCTCTATATTTCATCATAATTACTAGCCCCTTAGAACACGATAACCATTAAAAATGGCAAGCATGTGCACGACAGTGATATGTGTAAATATGTGTAGAAGTAAGCTTGTGAGAAACATCAGGTCCTCTGCTCTGCATGGGTGGGGAAACTGAAGCCGGTGATGCTGAAGTGTCTTGCCTGAGGTCATATGTAAAACAGTGACAGAATAAGGACTGGAACCCCAGAGCTCCAGCCCTTAGTTGAGTTCTTATAAAATAATGCTAAATGGAAATTCTGAGTACAAACAGTATGTACCTACAATTCTATAAAATTAAGTATTTCTATGAGATTAGAGCACTGAAAGTTTTTTTAAATCCATTTTTGTCCTCTCTCACATACAGTTCTTAAATTCAAATGTTTAAATGAGAAGAACCCAACTCAGGATGCACCTCCCCCTGCCAATTTTTCATCTCTCACCCAGATCTTTCCCAAGTTTCAGAACCATACAGTCATTTTCCTGAAGAACAATCTTAGACCATAACAAAATAAATTCTGTATCCAAAAGTTGAAAAGTAATGATCTCACTCCACTATACATTGACTAAAAACTATAGCTGGAGTATTATATTCCTTCTGAGCGCCATTATTTTATA